CAATAATTTTTAGTTTTCACTTGAAGCTGGATGAAAACTTTTTATGGTGCTGCTGTTCGGGCCGGGGTGCTGCGAGATGAGAAATCGCTACTCCATGGCAGAGAAGGGTGGGGGCAGGGAGTTCTGTTGTCTGATTCTCAATTTTAAATAGTTGCCTGTGGGTTATAATCCTCCTCCAGCAAAGACCTGCTCTTCCCAACAAGAATGTGGTTTGGAGACAGAGTAGCGAGGGCTGTGACCACAGCAGGGGCGAGTGGACTAGCGAGGGGGCACGAGGAGCACTGGGCTGCACTCAGGATTTAGGGCAGAAGAGTGACGAGGACTTGTTAGGAAGCAAGTTATAAGCACCCTCCTTAGGACCCTTGAGATTATTCAGGAGAGTCCTGGGTTTACTACAGCTACATGAGATATGGTCTAAGATTTGCATGTGGATTTCAGATGAGAAAGAGTACAATGTAGGACCTTGCAGATGTCAGGGACAATGTCTGCGTAATAGGGTTGGGAGGCTGACGTGAAAGCACATCATAAACCAAGGAAATACATTATCATCCCTAAGATAAAACATCTTTCCGTGAAGATTGTTTTAAAAAAAGATGTCACATTTGAATTCAACACTCATCACAGATGTGAGAACAATTCTCTGGAAGTCATGAGCTATACGATAGTTTTCTTTCTTCATGAATTCAGTTCAAACTGCGAGTTAAAACATAATTGGGATGTTAGAGCTACAATTTAAACAAATGACTCAGTGTGGCCCAAATGTGCCGTGTGAAGACATGGGACATAGGATCCCCGGTAATAACATCCGGCCCGCACGGCAGGAGGAGACAGCAGCTTCGGTCACGCAGTCTGTGGCTGAGATTGTGGGTAGCTATGGCAGAAAGGAAACGGTCACGTTGCAGAGGAACGGGGAAGAACATGGATGGGGTACGTACCAGACGCCAACATGGACTGTCTGTTTTCATGCTCAGTACGGCCGGAAGAGGTGGTAGCATCTCTACTGTTTAGTTGGGGGGGTGAAATGACAGTGGTTAAAGAACTCGCTCAGGGTCATGGCACTCAAGGTGCAGAGCTGGTATGAAGACCACTTCAAGGTCAGGTTCCCGTCCCTCCATGCTGCCATGTGGGCTCAGAAGGAAACTGATACTTAGCACCCGAGCTCTGTGTGGTTCCTGTCACCCAGTCCCTGTTTCTTACCACACCCTATTTTTCTTCCAGAGCACTTTCACATGAGATGCTCAAGGTGACAAGTATGTGAAAAAAGCACTAAATAATTTGCTGGCATTCCAGAGTGAGCAGGTTACATTCTTGGATCACCTAAAACTGTTCTCTGTGGGGCCCGCCATCTTTGGTGGGGTAAGTACAGAAATGCTGGCAAACTCTTTCCATTTGTGGTTCTTGCACCCAGTACAAATTTTTTTGTGTTGTGGGACGCTCTTGTTGTTCAGAATTCACCTTAGGGGTTTTCTCAAACTCTGCGTTCTTACTCTGTAGTGGTTTTTAGCTTTCTTTTTTTCTTTCCAGGCTGGGTGGATGGTGCCGTTTCTCATCGAGGTGTTAGGATTCTCTTTCACACTGGTTTGGTGTGACCTTAAAGCATTTTCAGTATGTAAGCTTCTCCCTTGGTCATTTTTTTTTTAAAATGTAGTACCCAGTAAGCTAGAGATTTGTTTTGCCACATGAGTTTAAAACAGAAGGTGTAGAGTCCGTCGCCTGTAAGCGGCGTCTGAGGTGACCGACCACATGTAGAAACTGGCCCCTGGTCTGCCTTTTTATTTTCTTCATCTTGGTAGGTTTCGGGGCACAGATGTGAAGGCCAGTTGTGCTGCTGAATGAGCTGTTGGGTTGCGAGAGTTGCTAAATGTGGCCTACAGTACCCAAGATGGAAAACTGTTATGACGGTCACAATTGTCTTAGTTTATAATCGCCATCACAGCTCTCCCCTGCAGATAACTGAGAGGCCTACGAGTCCCTTAGAGCTGCAACCACCCACAAAAACCACACACATGGCATTTTACTCAAAACTTTAACAACTACTTTGTGATGCAAAACTGGTGGAATTTTGGGTACTTTCTGTAAAATCGAAATCTTTATGGGGGTTTTCCAACATCCTAGGCGATTGTTCACAAACGGTCAGAATAATGAAGACGTCTGTAGGGTAGGATGCCCTTCCTCACTGAACAGTCTCACGCGGACAAAGCCACTGGGATTGAGAGAACAGCTCTTCTTTTGAAAAGGTCAATTAAAGAAGCGGTGTTTCTAGGAGACTTATAGTTGGAGATTTTAGGAGCTTCTTATCTTTGCGACAGAGTTTTTGGTCTTGACAAAGTATTCATATCCCGTACGTTGTGGTTTGTAGATCCTCTTCTGAAAGGGATTTGAAAAGCAAAGTAATGTGTATTGTAGGGCAGACTACATTTCTGCACAAGGAACTGTCTGTAGAGAGAACTGGAATGGGAGGCTGATTACCGATAAGACACTGTGGCCCTTTTCTGGCAAGGAGATTGCAAGCAGGAAACGCCCTCTCTGTGTTTGGCCAAGTCGGGAGACCTTTGTTCTGGGGCTGAGGCCTTGGGCGAGTGATTTCACCTCTGTAAGCCCCTGTTTCTCATCTTGAAAACTAGAGTTTCACTCATGCTGGGTGGTTGGTAGAACAGAGAGTCTCAGAGCCTTAGGTAGGAGCTTTGTTATTCTATCCTGTCCCATGTAAAGACTTTTATTGCTACAAGTTAAGCCCTTTTTCAGGCCCATATTTTATTTTCTAAGATCTGTAAGTACATTATTTTAGCAAAATCCAGCTCTACTTCTCTATGTAGTCCTGCCCCTTTGGTAGTTAACATTGTTGAATTCCCATCCGTGTAGCCCCAAAGTCAGACCAGTGGCTTCATGATTAGCCTTCAGGTAACTCCAGGCACACCTGTCTCGTTGCGCTGCCCTCTCCTGCTTCACAGGTCTTGCATTTTTTACAAACTCAAGGCATGGCGCTCTGCCAGCAGAAAGATCATAACTCGCTTCCCTGCGGTGGTCTGGAGCCGAACCCACATATCTCCGAGGTCAGCCTGTGTCAGAAACATCCTGGCTGTTTCTCATTAGGAGGGTCCAGAGATCTGGAAGTGAGTGTTGAGTGAGTTAACTCCTTAGCTGACTGTGAAAAGTTAGATTATTTCCCACCAGCACATAACGAAAACCTTGTTTGCTGCTTGCAAAGACTCAGGTGCTGGGTCGCTTCCACGGACTCTGCTTGCTTTATGATTTATGCTTGGCAACATTTACACAGGGCACGCTTTACAGGAGCAACATCAAGCAACCCATTTTCAGAAGGAGCTATCAAAAAAAAAATTGGCTGAATGAACAACAATGAATAAGGAACATGAACTTGGTAACAAACCAAGTAAGTTGAATCAAAGTTTTAAAGAACTAAATAAGAGAAGTTGTGTTGTGTGTGTGTGTGTGTAGAGACAGATACAGTGCCAAGAAAAATTGTACAGGACAGAATATCATGGAAGGCGTTGGGACCCAGCAAACCAAGAGTGGAAACTTTATTTGGGGGAAAGTAGGTTTATCAGTACCTAATTTTAGGGACAGAAATAGAAAAGGGCAAGATACTATTGGGTTGTTGGAAAAGTCATGACGTATTTTTTTGTTTTTCGTTGCAAAACTGCGTCATGACTTTTCTGACAACCCAATAAAATGTTGGAAAAGTGGGATGCCAGTTCCCAGGCCATTTCATTTAAGGAATGATTTGGTTAAGGAAACTGGCAGAATCTTGAAATTTGAACTGATGCTAGAGCAGACTTTCAACATTAAATAATCAAAGGCCAAGAGACGTTTTTGCAGGTTAGCACTGTGCTCAGGCTGGTAACACTAATTCTTTATCCGGCTCACTCTGAAGGGGACTTGGGCCTCGGCCCTTGAACCAGAGGTGCTGTAAAGGCTGTGTGTGGAGAAAGGTGAGCTCGCAGGTACACATCAAAGGCCACGGGACTTGTAACTTTTATGTTTCAATTATACCAGCTTTGTGTTCACACCCCAACTCCCAGGGTGGTGTCTCCGCATGTCAGGCCGGGCGGAGCTGCAGCCATTCCCTTTATTTTCTGCTGAAGCTGGGAACTCAAGGAAGATTTAGATCTGAAGTGACAGGATTCAAGTGAAACATGACAAACCTGTAAAAGCTGCAACCTGGACGTGTCAATGCAGGCCTTTCCTGTGAGCTGGAAGGGGCCTGGGAAACAAACCCCCCACGCACCTGCCACGAGGCGCTGGGCAGCACAGGGATCAAAGAGAAGCAGAGGAC